ATCTTCGACACGGACATCTTATCTCCGTCTCGTTCTTTTGAAGCATCTTGGCCTTCACGGAGCTCAAAAACCTATTCACGATGCCTTCGGTCATCGTGCGGACCATGGTCGCCTGCGGGGTAGAGCAAAACAATATTTTATAACCAAGAAAAAAAATTGGCATGACTTTCCCTAAAAATAGGACCGAAAAGAATGCATAGTGCTAAAATTCTCGCCGAAACGGAAATAAATCAACATTCCGGCAAAATATTGGCAACTATCGCATTTCAAATACCGGTACCTGCAAACACAAACATATATGCAACACCACAAACATATGCAACACCACGAACATACATAGATCTAGCTATAGGCCACAAAAAGTGCATGTGCACATTGTTGGAGAGGAAGAACAACATAAAGATAGTTTCCCCTTTTTTTTGCGTGAAAAAGATAGATAAAAAAAGGTAATTTAACCACCTATTTTGGATGAATCTATGGTGCAAATGAGGTGAGGAGGAGGAGGCAGCCGAGACAAGCTTGGAGGAGGAGGTGGAGAGAATGAAGTGGGGAAAGTGAGTGCGTAGGTGGGCTAGTCCAAAATATCTTGTTGGTCCCAGGTTACTAATGGCGCACCACCTGCAAATGCGCCATTAGTAATCCTGGTTACTAATGGCGCACCTGCTGCTGGTGTGCCATTAGAAGTTTTGCAAAATAATCAAAAAAAGTATATATTCTAATGGCGCACGGTGGCAAGTGCGTCATTACTAGTTTAAACTAGTAATGGCTCACCCTGCCATGATGCGCCATTAGAATCTTTGGAAAAATAAGAAAAAAAGTTTTTTACTAGTGGCGCACCGTGTGCATGGTGCACCATTAGTGTCCATTAGTGTCTTCCACACTAATGGCGCACCTGCACATGATGCGCCACTGCTATATAGTAGTGGCGCACCACATGGCAGGTGCGCCATTAGTGGCCATTTCATTTATAGCTCTTTTTATAGTAGTGAATGTTGTACCATACGAATTTAAAGCGTCATTGCCCACCCATGGTTGTATATTCTTATGTATCATTGAGTTACTGCCATCGTATTGCAAAAAGCCCTATATTAATTAGTAATCGTGATGCGCATGCGGTCGCCCAGGATTACGGCATCGCGTGCCACCATGTCCCAAAATTTCACGTCCCCACAAAAGCAGTTTTTTATAAAGAGTGGATTTTATTGGCTCAAAATGGAGCATCAAGAGGATACATAACACAATGAGCACACACCCGGTCTCTGCATAACTAGGATGTACACATCCAACCCAACACATAGACGCAGAAAAACACCGGCAACTAGCGAAGTCATAAGACCAAAAGCAATGCGTAGAAGAGGAAAAAAGAAGAAAAAGGAACCAAAGCGATCAGATCAGTGATCGACCAATTACAATTGAGACCATATCTGCAACAACCATTGGATCACCACATTGATGACGAGGATCTTCAATAGCAACGCCTTCAGGAAGCGAGCGACCCTCAAGCGTTGCCATCACCGAATCCAACCATAAAGTCCAGAATCTAAGTTTTCACCCTGAGGAATGAGTCTGATCATATCCGACCAATGCGTTCAACAAGGTAACGACGTAAAAAAACATCGCCATTGCCAGGTATAACCACTCGGGTCTGGCCTAGGCTTTCGCCCCGGAGCTAGATACTGGGTGCAGCACCATCCAAATCACACAAGTGTTGTCGCCACCACTTTTCCGCAATCCCAGTAGCTACAATTGGACCGCCGCCACTCCACAACTATCCCTCCGTGTCAAGTCATCATCCATAATTTGTAATACACCACTGAATTCATCCACCGGATCAAGAGATAAAACCTCCCGAAGTCTTTCGATGACCTCCGCCGTCATGGATCCTTGGAAAGTCGATGCAGAACAATCTACAGTCATCACCATCCGAACGATCGGATCTAGATCACACACCAACCTAAGATCGTAGCGTCGCCGTCTGGCACCACACACGCAAATGGCCAACACATCGCCACAACCCCACATGTCCATCGCAACAATTGTACGGGACGTCAGCAACACCTCGCGTCGCGATAGTCGTAAATTCACGTCGATATGTTTGATGTGCATTACTGAGTATATAACCATTTGATTTTTTTGGTTATACTCACTAGCACAAAACAGGGCTTTGGTTCAGGCCAAAAAACGCATTAATCCCAGTTCTCCTATGAACCGGGACCAATGGGTGCATCAGTCCCGGTTCGTGAGGCCAGGGCGCCAGCCGGGCCAGGGTCCCGGTTCGTCTGACCCCTTTGGTCCCGGTTCCAGACACGGACCGGGACTAAAGGGCCTTGCTCCTGGCGCAACCCCTTTAGTCCCGGTTGGCGGCTGGAACCGAGACCAAAGGTTGTCCTTTAGTCTTGGTTTTAGACACAAACCGGGACCAAGTGTTTCCTATATATATCCACACACCCCATCTGCTCTGTTTTTTGGCCGTGGAAAGGGCGGGAGGTGTGCTGCTCTCTGTTTTCACCTCCTATGCACATTAGGTGTTTGATGAAATGCCGGAGCAACACTTAAGCTTTCTACTCTCCAAGCTCAACCTCCAAGCTTCATTTTCCCCAAGATTTGTCTAGGTTTGGCGGTGCACCAACTACACAAGTGTTCTAAAAGGTTAGCCACTTCATTCTTTCATCTCTCACTGCTTGCTAGTTTAGCTCATTTGAAATGCTCTACAAGTAGATTGGTTTGTGGTTTTAGTGTAGGGGTGTATGTTCTGATTATGATCGCATTTGTGGTTGCATTTAAATGTTTGACATAGTTTCAATGTATGTTTTAATTAGATGCTCTAGAGACTATATATGATTCTCCATTTTCTAATTTCAGTTTTTCTTATTGTTGACACATGGTCGATCTTCCACGTACGATCATTCACTCACTCATCAGTGAGCGAGCCTGCCAACTACTTGCCATTGGGAGTCTTCACAAAAATCTCCATCCCTCTGCGGATGCGGGGGACAAGATGAAGTGTGAATTCCTTTTGGATGCCGTAGTCGGCCAAGGTGTGGCCTTCCTCTAGTTGCTTGCCACACTAGTAGAAAACAGGGCTTTGGTTGAGTCTAGGATGAGAGCATTAATCCCGGTTCACTCACGAACCGGGACTAAATGGTGCATCAGTCCCGGTTCGTGAGGCCAGGGCACCGGCCGGGCCTCGGGGGCCATTGGTCCCGGTTCGTCTGGCACTTTTGGTCCCAATTTCAGATACGAACCGGGACCAATGGACCTCGCTCCTGGCCCAGCAGCTTTAGCCTCGGTTGGTGGCTGGAACCAGGACCAAAGGTTGCCCTTTAGTCCCGGTTTTAGCCACAAACCGGGACTAAAGAGAAGCCTATATATACCCCCGCCCCTGCCCGCTCAGTGCTCTATTTTTGGCCGGCCGTGTGGGAAAGGTGTGTGTTGCTCTAGCTCAGAGAACAATTAATACATTTTTTTAGGTAAAGACAACAGTTAATACATGCATCGAGGCAAATGCAACAATTACCATGTACATTCTCTCCACTGTTTTTTTTTTTGTGGGGCACATTCTCTCCACTGCTAATCTTAGTAAAATGTATTCTACATAATGGATCACGAGAGAAGAGCTGGGAACCAGGCAATGAATAAGGGGTGAGAGTTATCGTGAACCTTATTAAAAACCTGAAATGGTAGATTTTTTTGGTGGGTCTGGAAAGAAAAGAGTATATATGATGCTCGGTTTTTTTAATTTCAGTTTCCTTATTGTTGACCCATGAGCGATCTTCCACGTACGATCGTTCACAAACTCGCTCCGTATTGTTGCCGATGTTGCGGTCGTAGAAGAGCGAGCCCGTTGAGTGCATGGTGCGCCGGGTCGAGTTGACCCAAGAGCGTCTGTGAAGGGTTTGTCTGGCGCACCGTCACTCCATCATTATAAGCATTGATTTTTCACTGAGATGTATGGCCAGCTTTGCCAATTGTTCAAAACGCTTGTAGCTAAGGAACCTGACCTCTCATCAAAGATGAGGAGCAGGCTGGTTGCAAGCCTCTAAAGTCAAGCACGCGGGTCTGCAGGGCCTCATCCAACGACCCCGATAAAAATGGAAACACACGCCATAGGATGTTGTTGGAGAGGAGGCCGAAGCGATGACCGACAACTTTCGCAACCATACCGCGCATTCCTTTGAACATTGGCAGGTGTTACACCGGAGCAGGAAAACAAAAATCATAAGAAAAATTAAGAACAAAGAAGGAATCTACTGCCGCAACTGTCGACTCAACTCATCACTCGTGGCATCCAATGACCCCATTCACTCTTATGGAGTACGTATACCTGTAGATATCAAATCAGAGACTTACAAGTTACAAACCATCATACTCAGCACAAGATGACCAGAATCAGAAGAAAGACAGCAAGTTTCAGACTAGGCAGATACAAGAGGTACAGAACCACATTCCCGGCTTCAAGACCAGGATGAAACATTGAAACGGAATGATAATTTGAACTTCAACTTCTTCTGAGGTGACAGTCAAGCAGCAACGCGACCGTTTCTTCAGATTGAAATGATAGTGATGTTCCCACAATCTTCAACATATCAAGAGGAAACTTACTTCGCTACCTTACCCAGGATTATAAGCGCACATGGACACCCATGATTTCTGAAGCATGTACAGTTCCCGTGTATACTGATGACGCACAGGGACATAAGAGATGCATTTACAATACTAGTAACATATTGATGATCTACAAAATATGTATGTAAGCACCATTTTGATTACCAGCAGATTACAGAAACATAGCCACGTTCCAACCATCATTTAGATTCCTGGCAGATTCCTGACAAAGTGCAAAATGTCTTGTTAAGTTGCACCAACCAAACCACAAGGACAGATTTCCAGCAGAGACCAAAGATGGGAAGCAAAAACAGAACGTCACGGTCAAAGGCTAACGGCCAACACATGGCCACCATTGCAGATTCTTCGGAGAAACAGAAGTCTTCAGGCGAACATCATGACCGACCACTCATCTTAGTCACTATCAGTGGAGTCGCTATCAGTGGATGAATCTGCCCAACCAAGACAAGTCACAAATATAGACGCAAATATCCTGGATATCACTTTGATGTAGAGAAACTATACTGCAACCCAACCAAATTTATGTAGCTCCAAACAGAAGAGTTTATTAGCCTTGCAAGGGCAACACCAACACAAATATGACCATTTCGAGAGGCATTGAGACTGCTTGAGGCTTGAAACAAGTGTGGAACGCATGCAATTTGGCTACCAGTCAATGTTAATCAAACTGACAACAGGCTTGGAGGATAACAGTAAATACAAAAAGGCAAAGGCAGTCTTTGCTGGATGGATGCAGAGCACTATATTGTATATTCTACCCACTATCATTCTTAGTGATATGTATTCTACCAAATGAAATATGAGAGACCTAAACTGAATTTCAAGATGAGAACAGCTACTATTTTCATCACCACCAAACAGCAAAAGGACTAGATAATTTATTTTACTGTAGAGAACAATAAAAAGATTTTGCATGGCTGGTACAGATCTAGACACATCAGAAATTTGTGCCAACTATTGTGGTGTCATAAGAAATTATAGGATAATGAACTGTCGAAATATAAAACTCCATCAGCATGCAAATCCAATTTATACTAAAGGATAATGGATAAAAAATCTGGATGGATTTGGGGGTGGTGCCATACATCCTAATTACCGAAAAAGGCTTTCGCCCCGCTTTATATATAAAGTACCGATCAACAAACACCCAGTACAAACACACGCCACCGCAATACATGCACACACCCAAGGCAGGATACAAAGGCGCTGAGCGCAGCAACACCATCCCTAGCACTACCACCACAAAGAGATGAAGCTACATATGACGATCCATGAGCTCCAAGGCGGCGCCTTCAGGAGGGGTACGACACCGGAGCGCCGCCACCGCCCGATCCAAGGATCAGAGTTTTCCCTGGAGCTGCATGATGGGCAATGAGAGCCGCGACGACGCCTTCAAGAAGGGAACGATCTTCGCCGCCGCTGGTCCGTCCGAAGATAGAACAGGTTTTCAACTCGGCCAACACTCACCGCCACCAAATGTCACACCCCCGCTACCACGCCACCCACACGGCCATGGTGAGCGGGCAGCACACAAAGCCACGGGCTCTGCCCAAGAGCACCGCGCTACCACCACCAGGGCCGCCGCCCCGGCATCCAAGACCTTGGCACCACCTCACTCAAGACCAGCCGCTACCCCAACCAAAGAGACAAGTGGAAAGGTCCCACCTTTCGCACCCTTGGGCGACCCCCATCGTCGAGACCCAATAGGCCGGCCAGACCTGGCATCCCTCGGCCCATCCTGCAGCACCTTGAGGGGGACGAGGTCAGTCCTGCTGCACCGTGCGCGAGACGAGCTCGGTCCTGCCGCACCGGCCGCGAGATGAGCGATGGACCGCGGTTGGGAGAGGGTCAGCCCTTCAATGAAAGTAGTGCCCGGACGACGAGGAGATGGGGCGAAGGTCAAGACGGTCCGCATGCGGACGAGCCGACGTCAGAGAAGCCGGCCGTCGCCGCAGTCAGAGCCGTCGAGACACAATGAAGCAGCCACGACACCGGGAGGTCACCACCACACCGGACCTCCCCGCGCCGCCACACGGCCGGAGCAACGACCACGCCCGGTCGCTGCCCACCCGCGTCGCCTGGTGAGCTCCAAGCGTCGGAGCAGCCGGGCACGCACCACCAATGCCACACGCCGGAGCGCCAGCCACCACCACAGAGCATGCACCTCCACGCCCTGGCCAACACCACCGGAAGCCCCACCACCCCACCGGAGAAGCACAGTCGCCAGCAGCACCACCACCACCTTAACAGGGCCGCCAGCCGCCCCCGCCGCCACCAACCACCAACACCAACCAGATCTGGGCAGAGCCACCCAGATCCGCTGCCAGAGCAACCCGCCTCCTCGGATCCCCACAAGCCGACGCAGGAGGGGGGAGGGAGGAGAGGGAGGCATTCCAGCGGGCCACCACGACACCGGGGAGGGGGAGGGAGCCGGAGCAGAGGAGAGCCGCCGCCCGATGCCGACGGGCAGGAGGGGGCGCCCCGCGACGCCGGCCACCTGCGCGTGGGAGGAGACGCCCCGCCGCTGCCTGCGCCACGCGGCCTTTGGCCGGTGACGCCGCTGGCGGCGGTGAGGGAGGAGAGGCCGAGGCGAGGAGCTGGGACGGCGGCGCTAGGGTAGCCGCCCGGAGTCGCCCGCGGGAGCGACTCGGGGGCTATCCTTTGTCTCTCCATCCTAATTATTATACAAGACATTCGTAGGAAGTGTAACTTACAATCTGAGTCTGAATGTGGATCCTCCTTGATGCTAATTTGCTCATGAAGTATGCCGCATGAACTTAAGATATTCAAGATTAAACCAACTCCCTCATCAACCTTTTCACATTCAATGTAAACGAACTTTAGGTGTTCACACACAAATGATTGTGTTATTGTTTCTTGGGCTCCTGTTGCTCCTACAATGTTCTATTAGATAAGAGCGTTTAGTAAGACAAATTCAGCATCCATCATAACACGTTAAATAAAACAGTAACATTGTTATCTATACATCATATACCTCGGTGTTATCAAGCTGAAGAGTGAGTATCTCAAGAACTGGAGAGTGTCGGAGAATGCAAACAAGGTCAACAGCCGTAAACCACTCATTGAGTAACAGAGTCTTTAATTCGCCAAAGACGGGGCACCATTTCAAATCCCATCTGTACAGAAACTGGACAAATCGCAAAGAATAAATATAAACTCTAGAAGATCAAATAATTTGTGCTATAACAACCTAAAATATCATATTTTATCCAACCAAGACACTATGTTATTAGCCGTTGATTTGAGATGCATTAGATGAAGATAGAGGACAAAAATGTGACAATGAAAATAAACAACTTTTTATCTGCAGTTCTACGATGGATATATATACTAGAAGATAAACTTTGGGTGACAAATAATACAAGAGTAGAAACGGGAGTAAGGGTAAGCATACCATTTTAGGTAAAGCTATCAAGTCCAACTTAGCAGCATTGGACAAACTATTGAGAAGCACCCCCTCCTTGACAGGATAAGTATGACAACCACAGAAAATATTATCACAAACCCCCCGATTACTGCGACAGTGATCATGACATCCATCGTCAAGATTAACATGGGCAGTTTCTAACAATGGCATGTTTTCAAGAAAAGGTGTCAAGCCTTCAAAATCCTCTAGCTGCAGTGAGATGAGACTCGGGGCACAAATCCGAAGGCGCACGATGTCAGGTAAAGAACAACAATCGATGATGAATAGGCGCTTTAGTGATTTGGATGACATCTTGCGTGCATGAATATTGCAGAATTGAATTGTTAGATCCTCTAAGACTGGGCAGCCTGAGAACTTCAGGTCAGAGCAGTAAAGGTTCACCCGTTCAAGGTGTATGGTCCTGAGATGTCGAGAGATGAGACTGAGAGGCACATCGAACACCGCAGCTCTTACCACGAGCTCCTCAGCTTTGCATGCCAGAGCGTAGTCAATCAACAGCCTGGTGTTTGTGAATGTATCCTCCGGCTCATCATGGGGATATGCATCAATCTCGCACCTGATGAGAGCCGAGTTCCCGCGGAGATGGATGACCAGCTTCACCAACTGTTCGAAACGCTTGTATCGTGGGAACGTTGGCCCATCGAAGACGAATAGCAGGCTGGTCGCGTGCCTCCAGAGGTCGCGCCACCGGGTGTCGAGCACGCAGGTCTGCAGGGCATCGTCCGCCGGCAGGAAGGATAGCACTCGCCATAGGAGCTCGTCAGGGAGGTCTCCAAAAGGGTCTTTGTCACTAACGGCAGCCATCTCGAGCATTCCTTCAAACAGGTGGCGGGCAGTGCGATATCGGAGTGAAATCAGCAAACAAAGAGGTCTAATGCGGCATCACCAAATCGGGGGAAATCATCTAGTATCATCACAGACAGCTCACCTCAACTCGCGGACAGCTGAAGGCGCCGGTCGCCGGCAATCGCGGGGAACAACCGAACTGGGAGAGCAAGAGGATTTCTCCCGTCCTCCTCCGTTACTGGATGCTGGCGGATCCCAAGTCCTCCTCCCACGTCGTGCCCGTCCACGAGACCCTCACCGGCTCCACGCGCGATGGGTACAGGCGAGGAGCGAGCGGCCGAGGACTGTGAACCCTCTCTCCCTTCGCGCCGAGAGGGAAGGGGAACGCCGTAGGCCGGATAAGGGGCGAAGGCTAGGGTGCGGTCGCAGGCACGGGGGGCGAGGTTCGACGGCGAGTTTGACCCGTCGCCTCGACGCAGCACAGCGCCGTCGCAGGCTAATCGGCGGGCAGAGGAGGAAGAGGAGGCCCGCCTAGGTATGTGGCTCTCAACTGGATCCTAAAAGAAAAAAGGGAAAAAAAGGCTCTCTACTCGCAACGGGTCCAGGCGTCCCCCACCTGGTAGCAGCTGAACTGGCCGGTTTAGATACGAAACGGATAACCGTTGTTTTCTTTCAAGCTAGTCATAGTAGAAGTAACTTAGAAAGTAACGTAGCGCGAGAGAGGCATTTTGGTGGCCGAGCTACCTGATGGCCGGAATCTCTGCCGTGTAGTATAGCATCACGATGCGTGATGCCTTGTTTTTCTCGTATGTATACACTGGCTATTAAATTGCAATACAGTTGTGCCATGGGATGCGGTGCTATGATTGTACGTGGGCCTCGGGTACACATCGTACTGCATGCATGTACCAGGTGTGCTATTTTGAAAATCGAACATGTAGTTGGTGGTGGAAAGGGCTGGTGGGGATATTATTTTTGTTTTGATGGGCCCATGTGGCGATGCAGATATGTTAACTTCCACACAGTGCTCAGTTCCCGTGCGACCATTCATCCTCTTCTCCCTGGTAGCTGGGCGTCCGACGATTCGCATGGATGGCCTGTATTTTTTTTTTTTTGGAGGAAGCGGAATCAGGATTAAAAACTGTCGATTCTTGCAATTTATGTTTCTTGTTCTCATGCTTTTCAACCAAAAGAATGTGTTTAGCGGGTATTTCGTGCCTGATTTTTTTTTTTGACTGGGCTTCCCGCCTGATTTCGCTACCAATCTTTTTGATTCCTTCGCCTGTGCCTTGTTGTTTAATCTGACGATACCACATAAGGAAAACCTGCACCAACCCACCCAAACCCGAATTCAATGAACGATTTTATTTGTTTTTATGTTGGAAATGGAACTTCAGACTGAGATGTTTGTCGCTTGAAAGAACAATGCGGGTATGTATGGATGTCAGGCCGCTAGTATCCATTCTGGATTTTGCAAACCTATGATTGTCTTAACCTGTCTACTGGAAAATTCTGAAGGTCCTCTGTGTTTTGGCTGTTATATTTTTTCAGCTATTATCATATGTTCAACTGCCAGACGATCTTTTTCTTAGGACTCTCAGTTTTTTTTTTTGGTGAATAACGATCTCAGTTTTTTAAAGAAAATATTAGTCTCAGTTAATTCGCATTGTTTTGTTCCCTGCAAATGTACACCCATCATGGCAAAAAGTGAATTTGTACGCATGGCGTGGCTAAAAAAATATACATAGAGCAGTTTATGGAATCATGGGCTGTGCGTGTTGTGCGTTTTCGCATAGGAACATGCTGACCGAGTCAATCCCATGTCGGGCACATGCGTCTCTGTCATGGTACAACGTGCGACCGTGCATGGCAACTGTGCCCGCAGGCACTGCTGTGCAAACTAATCTACGTGAGCTGCCACCACTAGTAGAAAAACACCTAATAGTCCCGGTTTGTAAGGGTCTTGAACCGGGACTAATGGGTCGTTACTAATACCTCCACCCATTAGTCTCGGTTTAAACACGAACTGGGACCAATGTGCCTCCACGTGGCCTGTGCGCCGAGCCCAGTCAGGGGGCCTTTTGGCCCCGGTTGATGGCACCAACCGGGATCAAAAGTCCATGTTTTTTAGCAAAGTGGCTGCTTTAGGGGTTTTGGGGGTTATTTTTAGGTTGTTATTAGCTAGCTAATAGAGAGAAGTGTCCTTTCTTATATTTTCATCCTTGGTTTACCAACGCTGCTGCTATATATGTTCATTTCACCCGTTGATATAATAACTCATGCATGCTCGCATCATACATCATCATATATAATAACAAGTCCTACTAATCATGCATCATCATACAACTTCTACTCGTTATTAATAATAAGTCATACGGTCATCATCCTCATAGTCATCGAACCCAACCCTACATAATTTTTCTTAGCACATGATCATCAGTATCAAGTAGGACCTAAACACCCTTAAGGTAAAATAGCATAAAACAATATAGACCCTGACTCTCCATTATGAAGAATGGCGATCATCCTGTCTCCAATTCTTGCCCTTCGCTGCTTTTTGCTTCCAAGAAGCTCCTTACGACTGTCCATACATTTTTTCCATTCTTTGATTGTCATGTCTCCACTTCTTTTAGAAACCCGGTATGGACAGTTGAGATTCGTAGTAAGACCTGGTTGTGTGTTCAAAACATGAAGGGTACCGTGCGTATACATCAGATGAGGCACACAATCATTCGAGATTATCTATTGAAAAACATAGTAATAACTTCGTAGTTAGCAATGATGTACTAGTTTTAGAAGTGTGCAAAAAGATGCACGGATGTCTTTTTATTCTACATAGTAAAAAATCTTACCAGGGTATCTCCATGGTAGTTACCGTAGTTCAACACGTGCACTAGTGGCATGTATTGACCATAATATTGAGGAGTTTGATTGTAGATATTGTAATTCTCAAGATCAGTACAAAATGCGACCAGATGATTTTTCTCCTGATAAGTTAATTCGGAGCCTTCGGTGTAGTAGGTTCTGTCTACCATCTTCCGCACATTTTTTGAAGAATGAAAATAAGTTGTCAATGGAAATAAGTTGTCAACTATTTTGAAATAAACAATATAAATTACTTAATAACTATGTTAAGCTCACATGGAGGGAGAATTGGAGGTGTATCCACAAGGACGCAAGTCGAAGGTCTCTCTTGCTCGATTGTAGCATCACCAAGATCCATGGTGACAAGCATACCCTCATCAAAACCATACATCTTGCAAAGTGCTTCCCAATTTTTGCAACCAAAATGGGTTACATTCCGAGCATTGTACAGCTTTACTTGAAAATCCACACCATGATGGGTACTTAGGATAATTTTTTTGGTTTCCATACTTTCATGATCTTCAAAACCCATCCTCTCCAAGACATAGCGTCTTGCAAAGCATGGGATAAGCTAGTAGAATTGGAAAAGATGAAAAATACATGTTAAAATAGTTGAAGTCGTGCTTAATTATGAAAAAAACTATTATCGTCGTTGCGTACCGTATGAACATCGAAGGTTTCCTCGAGCTTAATGCTGAAGCGCCGATCTTCGTCCAGCTCAATGAACCTGTCGCACATACCTCGGTCGTTGTGGCACCAGTCGCACTCCCCCGGGCGGTTTTTGTCGTCCGAGTACGACATTTCCGGCCTATGTTCATAATTCAAATATTAAACTAGATCATTATTATTAATCACGGGTTGACTATCGGTTATGTACGTAGCTCCTCCTTTCATTTCCGAGTGCATTATTACACCAAATTGTCTAGCACACGGGAATGAAGGAGAACTTATCCAATATTAGCATTCAATAAGCAAAACCAAATCATAAAATAAGCAAAATCAAATCATAAAATAAAGTAGTATTCAAATTAGCATGCATTCAATAATTATAAGCAAAAGTACATCATCTCTTGGTGTTCGTACATCGTCGAATATTATCACTAATATAGCATCACTAATACAACTAGAACCGTAGCGCCCGACGGGTATCGTCGCGGGTGGTGGACACCCAAAGATAAGGAACCATCACAGGATCATAGCTTCAGTGAGACTCCTAAAGAACCTGCCAGGTATTGTCGAACCTGCCCTCCAATGCAACCATGTAGCGACGGACGTGCTCGTCCTCCTCGCTGACACGGTGACGTACCACCTCCACGGTGTCCGGAAGCCTCAGCACCGTCACTGGCCCACGTGACCGCCACCAAACAAGGATCGGGTCAACAACGGGCTGCCTCCTCACCAACCTACGTCCCCCGGAAGGTAGCACCTCCCAATACAAGCCCGGCGGAGCC